GTTTCTATTTTTAGCAACTAAACCAGACAGACCCCGTCTCTATCCCCTGTTGTTGTTCACTTTTCGCCAAAAACCGTGGCCTCTGCCCTTGTTTTTGTCTTAGGGGAAAATCACTGCTTTACCAGTTGTAGCTGATCATGGCATCTCTCTGCCAGCCACGCTTGAACAAAACCCTCAACAGCCACTGTAGGTGACACCAAGCTATGAGACATTCAGAGTCTAGAGATAAGCAGGCACTGACTTCTGGCACTAATCTGACCACAATAAATTTGTGGTGTATTGATGGTGGTAGAAGTCTGGATCGATATCAGTCTTCAAGAGCTTCAACAGATCAATGTTTGATACAGATAAAGTAAATAGAGGGCAGGTGTTTATGGCATTCCCTGCATGTGGCATTATTATTCCTTGCTCATCCTTCTGCTGAGGGAGAGGAGGGAGAAAGAAGGAATGTAAGAAAGGATTTAGAAAGATAATTCACGAGACATTTAAAAAGCAGTTGTAAGAAGGAGATTTATGGCTGCTTTTTTTTTTTTACATCAGTTTTAGGCTGAAAAGAGAAAAGAGAAATATGTTCATAAAAATGTATTGTCCTTTGAGACACAAATTCCTCTCAAATAGTGGGTTTGGGTTTAATGAGGAGCTTGTGGTAGGGGGATCACTGGCATGTGGCTGTGCTTGTCTAGGCTTTGGGAAAGAGGGATGTGCAGGGGTTCCAGGGGTCCCTGCTGCTTCCTGGGGGTAGAGAGACCCACACCTGGCTCTAAATACTTTAGGGCAACTCCCAGGGAATGTGGAAATGCTGGAGAAGAGGGCACAGAGAGAACAGCCATTTGTTGCTCTTCTGAAAGAAATCAGTCAACCCTGGGAAAAACCCAACTGGTCTGCAGCCTCAGCCAGAGGTCAGGGAGGTTCCTCCACTGGAGCCAGGAGCCCTCCCCATGAGCTCCCTCTGGAAGTGAGGTCCTGAGGGAAATGGCATTGCCTGTCCCTTGTGATGTGTAGTTTTCCTGCCTTTGCTGTGCTCAGCCCTGCAACAAGTTCCCAGTAAGAGCTGCCAGTGTCCCCAGGGAGAACGAGAGGCACTTGGGTGACCCTTGGCTGGGACTGTGCTGCCGTGGCTGTCACCAACAGTCTGCAGCCAGGTGGGAAAGTTAGATGTCACCCTTGGAATGAGTGAAGATCACCAATCCCATCACTAGACTGTTGTGTACAGATCTATCCTGGCATTTATTAGCAGAGACCACCCAGTTCTGGGCAGCTGGGAATAAACATGTAAATGGGAAAAGTATTTCCAAGCAGAACAGAACCTTTGGAGCATCTTTCCCTGTGTCTTTATTTCCATCCTTTACTTTTCTCATCCCTCCTTCTCCTTGTTTCACAGGACTGGCTGACAAAATTTGGGTATCTGCCTCCTCCAGACCCTGTCACGGGGCAGCTGCAGACACAGGAGGAGCTCACCAAGGCCATCACTGCCATGCAGAGGTTCGGGGGGCTCGAGGCCACAGGGATCCTAGGTCAGTGGCTCATCATCCCTTGTCTCTTTGCTGCAAAGGGAGGTAGGGATGGCCCTTTGTAGGTCTGGGGAGGAGAAGAGACTTGGCACTGAGTTCTGGAGCAGCAGCATCTCCAGCACAAGCTCACACGGGTGTAACACACAGCCAACTTTGCAGCTGTAAGCGTAATTACATGGCTCAGGTGCTCTGTTGCCTTGTGCTTTCAAGAACCTGAGGCAAGCAATTATTTCAACAGACCCACAGACCCTTGGGGTTCCTAGTGTGCTTAAAATAGCTCCTGGTGTGTTCCTAAAGAAAAAAAAAAGCAAAGAGAAGGAAAAAAGAGTAGAGCAAAAAAAGAGAGAAAGTTGTCCTGTTCAAAGCCATCAGCATCAAATCGAATTGAACAAAAATCCTGATTAAGCCTCCCAATTTGTAGATGTAGATATTTTGGTTTCCTTGTTGCTGGGACACAGGCAGGGGAGGGAGGAAGGTGGTGTGACATCACCCCAGCACTGCCTGCTCCTGCCTGTGGTGTGCAGAGCCAGGAGGTGCCCCTGATGGGGCAGAGCCACAGCAGCTATGAGTCCTCCCCAGTGCCCCCCAGCCAGCTGAGAGCCATCACCTGCCCCAGCAGCTCCACTGGTGAGCAGGGACAGGGCAGTGAGTGGTTTCTGCCTGATGTGGTGTGCACATCTGGCTGGGAGGGAGCAGTCCAAGGCCAGGCTGAAGCGACAGGAGTTCCCCAGCATGGCTGGGGTCATTCCTGTCAATGTCCTCATTGAGGGAAGGAGAAAGGCAGCATTATCCAGCATTATTCCAGCCCACAGGAGGGTGCCTCCCTGCTCTCCTCCCCTCCCCAACATACAGCCATGACCCTCTGGCCATGGGGCCAGCTTGCTTCCGCTGCTTGGGACAGAATTAAGGACAAACTGCTAATTAGCATGTGGGTCTCCATCCATCCCAGCACCCCAGCAGCCCTTTGCTGGCCCCCTGGAGCAGCGGCTGCATCCCATCAGTGTGGCTTTCCCTCTCTGCTCTTAATTGAGCACGTGTAATTATTTCGCTTCCAACTCATCACAAGCTGCAGGAGACCCAGGAACAGGGATGACTTTTCCAGTGCATTTACTTTTGTGTTTTTGGAGGGGGCACTTGAAACAGGCTGGGGGAGGGCTGCCCTGGGCAGGTCATGGACATGGGTTTGCTCATGAAAACAGAGTTTACGAGGTAAAGTTAGCAGGAAAATGGGTGAATGAGACAACTTGTCTGTGTTTCAGCTGACGAAAACAGACACTTCAAGAATTCAGTAATTTTTAAAAATAAATAAGAAGGAATATGAGCATTCTCCAAATGAGCTTCTAGCTGAACTGAGATGGAGTTTGTTGATCATAGAATCATAGAATTTAGGGGTTGGAATGCACCTTACACATCACCCAGCCCCAACCCCCTTCCCTGGGCAGGGACACCTCCTCACTACATCAGGTTGCTCAAGGCTCATCCAGCCTGGCCTTGAACACCACCAGGGTTGGGGCAGCCACCACGTCCCTGGGCAACCTGTGCCAGTGTCTCACCACTCTTAGAGTACAGAACTTTTTTCTCACATCCAACCTAGACTTTCCCTCCTTCAGTTTGAACCCATTTCCCCTTGTCCTATCACTGCAGTTCCTAACACAGAGTCCCTCTCCAGCTCCTTGTAGGCCCTTCAGATATTGAAAAGTTGCTCTGAAGTCTCCACATAACCTTCTCTTCTCCAGGCTGAACAGCCCCAACTCCCTCAGTCTGTCTTCACAGGGGAGATGCTCCAGTCCTCTTATCAACCTCGTGGCCTCCTTTGGACTTGCTCCAACAGTTCCATGTCCTTCTTATGCTGAGGACACCAGAACTGCATGCAGTATTTACATATGAATGTTTTTCTTTGCCAGAGGAATAATGGGAAATTCAGCAAGAGAGAACTAAACAGAATAATTAAAAGTATATTTTAAAATAGAATCACAGCTGGCCAGAGATGGTTTTCCACACAAGTTTTTGAGATCTGTTAAATGTCAGGCAAGAGTTGACCTGCTGCATTTTCTTCTGAAAACAGTACCAAAAATTCCCCCTAATGCCAACAGCAGAGCTGGTGCCTGACCCTCAGCCAGGGGGTCCCAATTCGGGTGACCCACAGGTCACTGAACCCCTCACATCATACGCAGGGGAACATAAGGGGCTCAGTGACCTGTGGATGTCACCACAAGTGATGCTGGGGCTTGTGCCATGCCCCAACAAGCTCCTGGGCATGGACTTTTGCTCTTCTACTTCATTCTTAGCATTTCACTTCCAGTCTCTTTATCCCCCTGGTATTCCTTAACCCACGATTTATTGCTTTTTTCCCTAACCCTAGATGAAGCCACACTGGAGCTGATGAAGACCCCTCGCTGCTCTCTGCCAGACCTCACCATCACAGAGACCAGGAGGAAGCGATTCGCACAAGCTCTCACCAAGTGGAGCAAAAGGAACTTGTCCTGGAGGTAGGAATTCATCTGCCCCTGCTGAAATCTTGCAGCAAATTCCATGTGCTAAATAATGGCTTTGAGATGAGTTTCAGGGTGATGGTTAAAAATGTGTCCCTCTGTGCTCCCAGGACCCCACAGACTGTTTATTTGAACTCTTCTGCTGACAATCCCAGCCTTGATTTCTTGGACCCTCTTGGCAATGGCTGGAAGCAGTGCAGATTTGGTCAGTGGATTAGCTGGAAGCTGCAGTGGTTGTTAGAACATCTTTTTTTCTTGAGTTCATTAGGACTTTGTGCTTTCTCAAGCAGCTGCCATGGCTGGAGCTTCTTCTCTTGTCCCACCTGAGCCCAAGGGTTTGGAGTGTTTTCTGGGTAATAGTCACTTTGTTCTCCTAGTCTTTGCCACAGAGGAGTATTTCTCCCTCCATGTCAGGGAGTGACATGTGTGGCTCACTCTGAACCTGTGACATGCAGAAGTTCAGGTCCAGCTTTCAGAAATGCTGTAGGTCAGGGTTGTTGCAAGTTGTTTTCTGTCCTACCATGATTTGTGCTTTTTGGGACTTGTTTTTCCTCCCTCAGACCATGTGCTGCAGTGATTGTCCCTCTAAGGAAGGTGAGCACCATGAGATACTTGTACTGTCCTGAAAATGTGTGGATTCTATGGAGAGTTCTCCTTATTAATAATAAGCTTCTCTTTGATCCTGACATAATCCCTAGAGTGAGTCTACCTCCCACTGCAGTAACAAATCTCATTTTGGCTGTTGCTGTTGACACTTGTTGAATCTGTGGCCTTACCAGGGATTTGATCCTTGTTCCAGCAGATCCCTTTGAGACCTTATTTTAAGAAAAGATAGACATCACTCAGCTTCAGCAACAAACAGTTTTGACTCACAGATGGATTCATGTAGTGAAGTGACCCACATTATAAAAACTCAGCCCATCTCCCTGTTGCCCAGCCCTGCCTTGATGGCTAAGAGGAATAAAACTCACATTTCAGAGCAGAGAAAATCCTTTGGGTGAAACAATAAACCTGCTCTGATGTCCTGTGAGCTGCCAGAGCCAGTGCAGGGGCATGGCCTGTGCACAGCCTGAGCCCAGCAGCTCCTGACACACCTTGGTGACATCCCATGGCAGGGCAGGAGTGGTGGCCAGGCAGTGTGGTCAGGGCACTGGCACTGCAGGTACCACCAGGATTCCAGCCATTCCACAATCCCAGGCTGGAGCAAAGTGTGGAGGTAAACTAGGGTCAAGTTGTTCTGGTGGATACAGCCCTGGGATACCCCCAATTCCCACCCCTCTTTGGAAACTGTAATGCTGCAGCAAAGATTGCCATAAAAAAGGGTTTAGGTCTGAGACAACATTATATGTAAGACATAAAAAAAAAATCCATCTCCTGACAAACTCATTTCTGCTTTTTATTCTTTGATCCTTTCCTAGATCTTGGCTTTTGTCCAAGAAAGGGCTGTATTTTATAACTGGAGGTTGTATAAGCCAGCAGAAGGCTATAGCATTGCAGAAACTCCAATGTAGTATTTACATCCAGCACTTCAGACTGAACTGGCTTTTTGGAAACTGCCATGAAAATCGGCCAAGAGAGACATAAAGTTTTACATGCTTACCTTTTACACATTGATTGAAGATCTTAAAAGAGGAAAACAAAACTAAATTACACTGTGCCACATATTTAAAAGTTGAAGAAAAACCTGGACAATGGCAAGGCTGGAATAAAAGGGTCAATAAAGCTGTATGAAAGGAGGGTTACAGGACAGGCACCTGCATTGGTGGAGAAGGCAGTGTTTGGCAAAAAAAAAGAATTTATAGGCGTGCAGGTTGCTGAGATTTGGTCCTTTTACCCTTGAGTGCAGCCAGCCTGTGGGACTGGAGGGCTCAGGGAGCAAAACAGTACAGGCACAGCTCACAGTACAGCCTCAGAGCATCCTGATACAGATACATCTCAGACACAGACAGTTTTCTGTGCCTCATCTCCATGGAAAGTTTCCAGGATATTGCAGCATATAAATCTTCTTTTCACGGGATTGTTTTTATTATTACTTTATTTTTCCTGCACTGTCCCCAGGTACCAAGGCACTCTCAGCTGAGAGGGAGCAGTGTGCTGTGGTTGCCCTCTGCTGGCACCAGCACTGGAGCCTCCTGCAGCCAGTTCCCCCTCGCGTTTGCAGCCTGCTTTTTCTTCTGCTAATTTTGCTTTATTGCTTCTGGTTATGCCCCGTAGAGGGGAAGTTCACAGCTGGCATGTTCATCCCTTCCCAGTGCTCACCATCTCCCTGCAGTCCAGGGAAGTGCAGTGGCAGGGTCGTGCTCCCTCCCTGCATGCTTCAAGCTCCCTGGGGCAGGGGAAGCTGTTGAAGCTGAGCTTTCTAAATTTCCCTTTTTTTTTTCTTTTTCTGGCTGAAATCTCAGCCCAGTGCCAAACTGAGCTGACTTTCATCTGCCTTTAGTTAAGGACGAGTCTCTTGTGCCACTTGATTAGAGCAGCAGTCATTGAAACCACACTGCTCAGGCCAGAGGGTGCCAGAGCTGGAGCAGACACTGGTGGTTGAGGAGCAGTGACACCTGTCAGTCACTGCTCACCATCGCTGTGAGTGTCCTGAGCCCACCCAAGGTGAGGTGTGCCAGTGCCCGAGCCCAGATCTGGGTTTGCCCAGGTATGGAGGGGCAGCAGCCAGGCAGGTACCACTGGGTAAAGATATGCAACCCCCAGTACTGTGCTCCCATCCCCATGATGGACCTGATCCTCCTGCTTCCCACTTCTAACCAGTGGCATTCCATACCATCGCTGTGAGTGTCCTGAGCCCACCCAAGGTGAGGTGTGCCAGTGCCCGAGCCCAGATCTGGGTTTGCCCAGGTATGGAGGGGCAGCAGCCAGGCAGGTACCACTGGGTAAAGATATGCAACCCCCAGTACTGTGCTCCCATCCCCATGATGGACCTGATCCTCCTGCTTCCCACTTCTAACCAGTGGCATTCCATGGATCATGATGGACCTGATCCTCCTGCTTCCCTCTTCTAACCAATGGCATTCCAGCACGGGGATCTCCCAGCCCAAGCCCTGCTGGTCACAGACTGCCCTACCCCCATGCCTGGGGCTGACAGATGCCCAAGGTGGGCAGAGTGTCACCTCTCAGTGTGGAGTTGCTTTAGGACTGTCATAACATACCCATCACTGGCAGCTTGGACCCTTGGAGGAAAAGCCCAAGCAGCTGAAGGAGAGATCAGGCAGATGCCACATTGGCATCTGCCACCAGCACAGGTGGCAGGATGGGGGCATGATGGCTCGGTGAGACTGGGAGCCACCTGGTGTTCTGTGTGTGTTCAAAGGCAGGAGAAAGATTATCACCCAAAAATGCTCAGTAATTTTTGCAAAGTGCTGGGAGAGGATGTGATGGAGGGTGGCAAAGGCACCCACTGCTTTCCTCCTGTGGCATTGGGGTGTTGTGGCAGTGCCAGGGTAGCAACAGATCAGAGCTGTTGTGTCATGGAATGCTCCAGGTGGCTGGAAAAGTAGCTACCCTTTCAACTGTTCCCTCTTCCCTCCCCCCAAGAAAAATCAGTGTGGGTTTATCGGGCAGTTCTTAGCCTGCTGTGTTTAGTTGTTCTCAGCATTTATTTCATTTGTCTGTGGTTTCAGGGCTGGGAAGGTAAAGGACTGCTTTCATTAACCAGCTATTGATTTCTCATCCATCACTGATACTCTTCCACTTTAGTCTTTGGAAGGACAAAAACCAAAAAAGGAACCAAGAAATCAAAATAACCATTAGTGTGGGCTCTCCTTGATGGCAAATAGAGTCAGATCAGCCCTCACTGGCCTCTACTTATTGGACACAAAGTCTCCTTGGGATGGGGCAAGCAAAGGAGAGGACTTTTTCACAAAAGGACATGTGAAGGACTGGCAGCACCAGATAAAAGTCAGCACTCATTTGTCTGTGTGGCAGTGCTGCTGCCTGGGTGAGCTCTAAATGCAGAGTGGAGATGTTTTCCTTGGCATCCAATTGTGATACTCACCACCACGTCCTGCTCAGCAGCCTCTGGTTGCAGCAGCCCCATCCACCACGGGCACAGACACTCCTCAGGGTGTCCCAGAGTGTGATGGCAGAGGGATGTGACTGACCCCACAGCTCAGGGCAGTATTGGTGGGGTGACTGAGCAGCCCAGTCCTCATCACCTTCCCACTGACTTGGCAGAGACCATCAGGATCAAGAGCTTTCTCTCCAATTACACACACCAGGTTTTGCCTGAGATTGGAGCTCTGTAAGGGGAGTCTCAGGAGGGATTAACATTCAAGAAGAAGTGTTGCTTTCCACTGGGGACCTAAGCACCATTTACTACAAATAATAATAATAATAATCAAGGTAGGAGGAAGCTTATTTATCTGCATGACGTTAGAAATGTGCCTCTTTTTCAGTGGAACTGGGTAATGCAACACCGACAAACGTCCTATCTGCATAATAGTCTTTTCCTAATCTCATTGAAAACAATTAGCAGAGCTCCTGCAATCAAATCAGATGCTGAATTGAAAAGCCCTGATGGGATTCTCTTGAAAAATAACGGTGGTAATGAATAAAGGATGGGGGACTTTTCACTTGCACCTGCAGCATGTTAATAAAATAGGGGTCAGCTCAAAGGTGCAGGACCTTTTCTAAGGAGCAAAATAAGTATTGATGCTGTTTCTGCCTTAATCTAACGTTTCTGGAGTCAGGGCTTGGGATGAATATTAATCATGTTTGTCTCTTTAGACACAGCTTTTTATCCACCATCCTTGTACATGAGAGATCTGATTTATTATCCTCATTCTACAGCTGGAAAGAGAAGGAAAGGAAAGCAGCTCACATGGTGAGCAGAGCTTGAGGAGAAAAGTGCAGACAGTGTCCCTAAATGTGAGTCCATGCTTTAGCCACCGTGACCTTGGAGACAGGTCATGATTCCTGGACTAAACATGGGGCATTTTACACAAATAAGGACTTACAAAGTAGAAATTAAAGCAGCAAAGGGTTTGCCTAAGTTCAGAGTGTTGTGGAAGGTGAAGACACCTAGTTAAAGGATATCTGGAAACCTGGTGGCTTTCTTTCTGTGCTGTAGAGGATTACATTAATTAAAAATTGCCTATTCTAATCCCATGCTCACACTGTTTGTACCTTTGTGCTGCCTCCTTCACAAACATGTTTTGTTTGAAGTCCTGCAGTTATCTGATGTTACCTTTGTGTTAACTCATTTAGATGAGTCGATAAGGTCTTTCTTTGCCAGAAGAGTTTAGGGATAGCAAAGCCAGAGATATGAGTGATTTTTGCTTGTCTGGCTGTAATGTTTTGGCTGATTCACTCAGACTTATTCCCACCATCTCTAGGATGGGCTTCCCAAGCTCTTCAGAGAAACTGTTCGTGAGATTTCTGCTTGTTCTCATCAGTTCCTTTTGCTTCTGTCCCGGATTTAACCCTCACTAGCTTTGCCCAGGCCAGGAGGTGGTACCCACCCTGGGCTGCCTGTCTCAGGGCATGGGATATATGCAAACATCTGTGAAAGCAAGTGCATCCAAGCTCAGCCAGCAAGTCATTCCTACTCCCCTCCTCTGATCCACAGTGTCTCCCAGCACCCAAACCACTACTCACAGCAAGAGCTTGAGTGATGTGCCATCCCTTTTGACACCAGTAATTACCTCTTGAGGTTTAGTCAGGTCATTACTGCACATTGGTGCTGGGAGGTGGTGTGGTACTGAGGGATGCTCTCCCAGCTGTATTATGCAGGAGGCCAAGTGAGGTGATCATAATTGTTGCTTCAGCCTTTAAAAATCTGTCAAGCCATGAATATTTCATGAACACTTTGGTTGGTGTGCTGGTGCACAAGAAATAAAGTATCTGTTATTACTGGGTTAGAGCTGGCCAGAAATTTTCCAGCAGAATTGGTTTTTGTCAATAATTACTCAGTCAACAGTACATTTGCTTGAGAAGTGTGTATATTTTTGTCAAAATTGTCAATGAAAGATTATCTAAACATACTCCTTTAGAAGCCAAGGTGCCTTGTTTGTCTTTTCATCTCCTCTATTAAATCAACAATATTAGGAATTCTGTTTCAAAGTTGGGTTATTCAGGAAACACTGACTTGTTTCCAGTCCAGCTCAGCCCAAAAGGAAGGGTGGAACTGTGCAGCTGCAGGACAAATTCCAGCACACAGGTTGTCCCACCTGGCTTCTCTCCCAGGGCAAGGCAGAGCTGGGGACCACGGGGTGCAGTACTGATAGAGAGAAACAGTGACAGCTCTGTGATGAGTGTAATAGTGTCCTAAGCACCTGCTCATCAATACTTTTTCTACCAAAAGGCAGGTCAAGAGCTTCTCAACTACAGTGCTCCATCAGATCACCTGTCTCCTGTGGGCAATAGGCTGGAGACATCCTGAATTAACATAAAATGCATCCTTTCCTCTTCCTGCTTGTTATGGATTGCAGCCTCTGAGGTTGCTGGCAGTGTACTGGCTTCAGAGTATATTTTATACCTCCAGCAGACATGCTGGGAAATATATGGAGGCAGCAAATCCGTACTGGATTTCTGTGTGTGTAATAAGAATGAGCAATGAGCTGCGTTCTCTTGCAGGAAAACTGATAGGCCTATGTGTGATGCAAAGGCTTGAGACTCTGTAAATGTAGTCTCTGTAAATGTGGGTTGTACTTGGAATGAGAAAATAATCATCAATAGGTCTGAAAGGGAGCTTGGGAAAAACAAAATGGGCAAGCTCTGGAAAGGGAGTCATGGTATTGGCATTTCCAAGGCTGGACAAGGGTAGTAGTTGTGGGCATTAACAAGAGTTTGTGCATGAAGTGTGGCTCTGAGGCTGACTGCCACCTGGTACAGCAGGATCAGGAGGTATCATTCAAATCCTGCCTGGAGTGTTTTCACACTCTGGTGGACAAGAGTGGCTTGGTATTTCCACAGGGCTCAAACTCAGTCTCTGAAATCTTCATAGCTCTGGAACTGACATGATTCAGAGACTTAAGGACACATCTATGACGGGTGTTAGGGCACTTTGGAGGATGCTCCAAAGGCCTCACTGAGGTTC